CATAAATGAAAAGATGCATACATTTTAATATTTGAATAAATAAAAAATATACAAGAAAAAAATTTAATCTAAGGGCCCCAAAAATTTGAATGGCCTCGGGCCCCGCGTACGCTTAATCTGGACCTGGTCTTCATCATCTGCATTACTTTACTTTTGTTCGCGAACGCCATTTTTTTAACTCTTTTTTTTTCTATGTTAATTCATCAACCATCGTATATTGTACAAAACACGTTTGCAGTCCCACATATAGCAAAATTCTTAAACAAATAGTGGCAAACTTCCAATCACAGCAGATTATTATTATTTTTTGTTTTGCTTCCGCCCGAGTAAAAACGTGATAAAACAAAACGTATTGACAAATTCTGCTATGCCCGAGTTAACTCGGGATAATAACTATTTACAATATATCCATACCCGAGTTAACTCGGGATAATCAGGGAAGCGGTTAACTGTAAGTATTAAAAGCTAGGATGGAATTTTTTTTACCAGAAGTAACATTTGATCTAGGAGACTGGGAGGATCTTGAAAAATCTGAGATAAAATGGAAAAATCCAGGCTAAAATGAAAGAAAATAAAAAATGACCAATACAATTATTTAAATAAGTACTATAAAAATATTTTAAACTCATAAAATTTATTACACAAGAAAATGAAAAGTTTTTTACATTTTTAAAGAATGACTAAATTCATATTTCTGTCTCATACAAAATTTTAAAATTTATTATATAACCTCCATTATAGTAATTTTTTTTAAAAATGGGATTCATGCTATCTATATTTTCCTAAATAAATCTGTGCACTTATACATAGATAAATAATTGTGCTTAGATTATTTTCAATTTCTTGCATATACTATATTAAAAAAATGTATATAATGATGAAAGTAATTAAATTTAATAATTATAAAATAGTCATTAATAACATCCAATATACATTATGCACATGTTTGCGTTTACTGGTTTGATACTGTAAAATAACTTATATTTTTTTGAGCTCGCAAAATTTTTGAATTTTCTTTAAAATTATTTATTTTTAAAAAATGAAATGTATTTTTGAGTCATTTTACATATTAACTTTGTTCTTAATATTTAAAAAAAGGCAGGAATCAAATAACTTAGAAATTATTATTTAACTATCCAGTGTTTCCCAAAGTGTGGTACGCGTACTCCCAGGGTACGGGAACAGTTTAGCGGGGGTAAGCGTTCTTATGCGAAATATCCTGCAACAAACGAAAATTTCAAAACAAAGCTAGCCATGAACATTTACGATTACGTATTTTTCTATCGGCTATTTTTTGCAGAGTTAATGGTTAGTGAAATCAACAGCTAATGGCGATTTTTAACTTTTATGCAATTTTTTTTATTAGTGGTATACAACGTTACGAAAAATTTAGAAAGGGTACACAAAAGTCATAAGTTTGGGAAACACTGGACTAGACTAAGATAAAAATTATAAACGATCCGAAATATTTAAAGGAAATACAATTTAATACATACAAGAGAGTGAAATTTTTTATTATTATTTACATTTTTAAAAAATAATTAATAATTTATTAAAATTTTCTAAAATATATTTATGTGTGCGCACATATATTTTATTGTAATTTTAAATAATAATTTTTTTTTTTAAAGAAAATAAGTACCCTATATTAAAAATGCCTTTTATGGTTATTAAACCTTTCAAAATTTTCCATACAGAATATTAAATACAGTATAAATATAGTTTACAAAATTTTTTCTTTTTTAATATTACACACAATTAAAAAAAAAAAAATCTGTATAATATTCCATAACGATAAAAAAATTTCGATCCAAAATCCATAATTTGACTAAATACTTCATCATTATGCAAAATAAAAAACTGCCTTTAAAATATATTTTTTGAAATAGCTATAGCATATTATTGAACTTTCATACTTAGCAGTATTTGACACTGAAAATTAGTATATCATTTTTAATTGTGATTATGATTAGAGTAAGATTATTCAATTGTATTAATAAAATTTTATTATATTTTTACAGTTATTCACATAAAACATTGCTATACTTCAGTGTTTCCTAGAGTGTGGTACGCGTTCTTATGCGAAATATCTTGCAACACAAGAAAATTTCAAAAATTTATATTTAAAAACAAAGCTAGTCATGAAAATATACGTATTTTTCTTCTATTGGCTACTTTTTTTTTTGCAGAGTTATCAGTTAATAATGAGTGGTGTCAACAGCCAGTTGTGATTTTTAACTTTTGTGCAATTTTTCTTTATAGTAAAAATGACAGTAATTTTTTATTAGTGGTACACAGCTTTACGAAAAATTTAGAAAGGATACGCAAAAGTCATAAGTTTGGGAAACACTGCTATACTTCATTAAAAAAAATTTCTTTTAAAGTTAGTGGCTTCGAATTTTTAAATTCATTTTTTCCCCAATCCTTGCTTTTTAGCTTTCATTTATTTAATATAGAAAAATATTGCCAATATTTAAACTTGATTGCAGTTATAAGCTGTTTAAAATTTATATTTCATTTTTAAAAAGAGTTTCTCTCACTTGCTAAGATGTAACCTTCCAAGACTTTCTTTCTTTCCTTCCAGACGCGGATACGTACATATAGGTTAGTAAAACCCTTACCCGTATAATCCGCGTCTGGCAACTACTTTCAGCCAACCCCAATCAACTATTTAAAGTTTCAAAAGAAAGGAGGTTACAATTTTGTTTACAAATATACAGAAATATTAATTATAGTTTAAACAATATATATATGACATATAGAAAGTGACAATAAATGAATTTTGGAAAGTAAATTAATATAAAGGGAAAAAAAGGATAATAAAAAATATATAAATATATATTTAATTCTCCATTAAAATTTTGATTTATAGGTGTTAAATAATAAAAGAAAGTAATTAAATTGTTATAATAATAAAATAAAGTTAAATAGAAAAGATATGTACAGTATTTACAACATATAGGTATGCATTCCAAAATATATAATAATTTTTTTCTTTTTTTTTATATTTAAAATTTTAGAATATTATTATTATAATAATTTGGTTTTAAGCGTATTGTTAGTTTTGAATTGTTTTTGCCATGTTGGTAGATTAGTGGTATTCGATGCACGAGTATGCCATGAAGCTGTATAGATGCATTCCGTAAGATAGTGTTCTGGAGTGCCCAGAAGGCCGCACGTGCAGTGACCTTCCAAGACTCTAAAATTATTATCCTTGCTTTATATGATGTTTTACAGATGAAAGTCACTGCCTATTAAACCATATTCTTGTTAATGTAATCTAAGCCTGATTCGTTGCCATTGAAAAATTATATATCTTACCCAAGATCTCTTTGAACCTCTGACATAAATTCAACCTTACACACTGGCCAATATCTTTTAAACGGGTTGTGGTGGCCTCTCCCTATATAACCCCCCCCCCCACACACACAGTATGTGCTTCTAGGTAGATCTCATAGATCTGTGAGAACTGCAAATAATGAAATAGTTAAGTTCTTACCTGAAGTACATTGAAATATAATTTACCAAGTTATGACGGGATTAAATTTGAGATATGGCACTCAGGATAAGTTTTTAAACTAGAATATAATGGTGATTTAAATCCACTGCGATTTATCTTAAACACATTCACTTAAAGAAATATAATTTTCATAATATTTAATATGAACATGCTTGGTAAAAAAGATTATTTAGTTAAGTTTAAAATATTTTCACATAATATAATTAATAAATATACATTCTTAAAGGTGTCATTTTTTAAAAGTCTGATTTCATTGATAATGAATATTTTGAAAGGGAGCGATTTTACTTTGTGTTAACTACTAGTTTACTTTGGATTTTGGCTTACCGTGGTTGGGTAAGGAGGTTACTTTGAGTGCAGAACACCAACCCTTCACAAGGGGGGGGGGGAGATAAGATATAGGCAGCNACAAGGGGGGGGGGGAGGTAAGATATAGGCAGCGCAGTCTCTACCAATGGTTTTAGAAAACCATTAACGCAATCCGCTATTTCAAACATTTAACTGGTTTAGATTAGAGACATTTAATCTTGTTCTATTCAACTTTTTTTAATGCTATAATTTTTCTTCATTTCACTAGAAGCAGTTGGAGAGAGTAATTAATAAGATCTTTACTGACTTCTACTTTTAGGATGAAAAGATTAGAATTGTCGGCTGTGGATGAGTAACTGTCTTTATTTAGAGTTGAATACTCCATTGGCACACTCATGTGAAGCTCAATGATATTAGCGCCATCAGGGTCCAGGTCGAAAAAGATAGCTGTCAGATCGTGTGGTTAAAAGTCACTGCTGTCGAGATGACCCCCCGCAAGGGTATGGAATGCTATACCGTGAAAGAAATGCTTCATGTCAAATTCTGTTTCACTTCCTTTGGTCATTTAAGATTTATGAAGTACTGAAAAAAATGAGTTCAGGTAAATCCATCATTAAAATTTCAAATGCTGATTTTTTCAAACAAATTATAGCACAGTTTGCTTAGGAATTACACAATAGAGATGTAATCCAGACAGAATTAGTGTAAATATTGATTTTTTTAAAAAAAATCAGCATTTGAGAATCTGGGTTTACCTAAATTTTATTTTTCAATACTTTAAAAAATTTACATTCCCAAAGGAAGTGAAACAGAATTTGCCAAGAAGCATTCCATTCCCATAAGTATTTTTATGACGTTATCGATCTTGGGGGCAGTTCAATTGATTTTTAGCCCTATAGCCACCACACAATACGACAGCTATCTTTTCCAACCATAACACACCCACAATGGCGCAAATAAATTATACTAATATTGAGCTTCACAAAAAGGCAGTTTATGCATAAATAATTTCTAACTTCAGAAAGCATGAGTCCCACAGTGGACTGATCCTTAAGACCCAGCAGATCACCAAAGTCAAGCGGTCAGTGTGAGTGACCACTTGGATTAGTCTGTCCAGACCATTGTGCAGCTCAAGAGCAACGTAAATGAACTATAACAACGACATCAGAAAGCATGAACAAAAAGTATTTATTTCTAACCACAAAGGAAACAAATACACAAAAAATGTGAACATAATTAAAAAAAAGAAAAAGATCAGAGCACTTCGTCGGGCGATTTTTTGTCCCGTGCTTCGGTCCAAGCTTTGGCAATGGTTCTTTTCATGTCATCATCTCCGTCTTCATACATTTGCTTCATTAAAGTCATGAGACCTCCACTCGGATCTTGATCATCTTTCGCACTTGGCTTAGGTCCCCTAATGGAATACAAATTTTGAAACATGACTAATACTCATATCAATTTGGTTTATACCTTATTCAATTTGACAATACATACAGGGTTCATGCTGTACTTTAAAAATAAAATTCAAGTACTTTTCAAGGACTCTTTAAGACTTATTTAAAATTCTCAAGGACTTAAATTTTAGTAAAAGATAGACTAAAATTTTAAATAAAAATGTCTTGACGATAATAGTTGTTGACGATAAATGTTAGACGATAATAGCAGTCCTGAAAAATAGTGTAAAAAAAGCAAAGGGTGATTGACATCAAGTCAAGGATAAAATTCATGATGCATAAAAATGTCGGATTTGAATTTTACATAAGGCCTATTTTAAGCTAGGTATACAATCTCTGAATAAGCAAAGATCTGGACAAGTCATGAAAAAGAGAGGAACATTTCAAACAATCTATACAAAAATGAAAACAAAGTACACTTAAATTTATTTATAGTAACAAATCTACAGTTAGAGTAAAGAAAATAGAAAACATACTACTTAAAATTATTAAAAGATATTTATTAGTAAAAAACTCATGCATCTTAAATGATATGTAAAGAACAAAACTATCATTAACAAATATAATAAATAATTTTTGAATGTCTGTGGTAAAATATGATTGAAAAAAGAATCAAATAAAGCGGACAAAAATAAAAAAAAGCTGAACTTCTACAACATAGTCACAGGGAAGATGGGGGGGGGGGATGTTCTACATAATACTGTAATATCAATGAGATATATAAAAACAACTCTGCCAGAAGATTTTTATTTAATATTTTTTAATATTTAAAGTGGAAGAAGCATTTAGACAGTGAAATTTAAATTGTTCTTAAATATAATTTTAAAATTTTGATCACTTCTCTAATAAAGAAAATTAATCAATTATTGTCTCAGCTTAATTAGGATCTTAAATTAATTACCGGTCAGTCATTTTAAATTGAAACAGTTGCCAGCTTTCACCTTAAAATCTTCTGATAGATTCTTCCTAACAATTTTCGTCACTTTGACTGTTTTAAATAACCAATCATACTTGAATTTATTAAATTTTTTTCAGTAGCATTAATCGTACGCACTTTCTGCTTGCCTTTCTATTTGATTAAACGTCATCAAAATTTTTTTTTTTAATTAACAATAATATATTTTCATAATATATTTAATGGTAGCCATGAAATTTTTTTTGATTTTGAATTAATTTTTGCAGTATATATATAATTGACTGTTTTAATTAACCTGTGATTGTTTTAATTAACCAATCATACTTGAATTTTTTTTTTCAGTAGCATTAATCGTACGCACTTTGCGTTTGCCTTTTAATTTGACTAAACGCCATCATAACTGAACTGACTAAAACGTAATCATAAAATAAAATTTTTTTTAATTATTAATAATATATTTTTATAATATATTAAATAGTAGCTACGAATTTTTTTTAATTTCATGAACGAATTTTTGCAGTATATATAGAATTACTGTTAATATTTTTTTATTCATTGAATTTAAAAATTTTATATTGCTTTTATTTAAAAGAAAAATAGCAATTTACTAAGTCAGTTTTTTAAATTTTTATTTGTATTAGATTTAAAAAAAATGCCTCTCAAAAAGCAGGTAAGGTCAATTACATTAAAGAAAGCATGTATCATTTGAAACACACATTTCAAAAGTAAGAAGAAACATAAAGCATTGTTCTACTGATGTTGGCTAGCATATAATAATCCCCTTTCCCGGAATTGTGCAGCAGGGGCAGCAAATGAGTAAAACGAATCACCCCATTAAAAATAAAGTTTCGGTTTATCTTTAGAAGTCCCCTTCTACAAGAAAGTATTATTCCATCATTTGCAACATGACGCTATTGACGAGACCCATGGCTGAACCAATTATTTATTTCACCTCAATCTTTCTCACTAGCTAATACTTTTCTTTTACAAATCAGTTAGGATTAAAAAAAAAACGAAATGTGATAAACGAAATGTGAAAAAAAAACGAAATGTGTAAACCCCATTGGAACGTCGGGCCTGGGCACATCCTTAAAAACGGATCTGCTCAGGAGGCTACTGCAGGGGGAAAAAGTTCCTTCCAAGTCCAACTACTCATATTTCTCTCTTTGAGTTAAAAGCAGGGAATACAATAGGGTCAAACTTAGAGCTAAGTCAAACCAGTATTTGCCGAAGACCACGTTGACCAAAGAGGGAAATCGTGACGTGAGCAACTGATAAGCGCGGACAGCACACATCATCAGAAAGGTAGGAAGATTATTATCTCGCACTTACGTTTGTCAGAAGTTAAACACAGAAATGCGGAAAATGGGGCGGTTTTTAAGTTTCAGATACTTTTCAAGGTCATTTTAAATTTTTCAAGGATTTAACATTATTTTCAAGTACTTCTAGGGGCCCTTGAAAATCAAAATGAAATTCAAGTACTTTTCAAGGCTACGGGAACCCTGTACATAAGATCCGATATTCTGCTTCGCGATATAGCAATACTTGAACTCGTATAGTGTCCGCAAAAATAAACGAACCACCCTGAATAACTTTTGATCTGATGATCGGATCTAAACGAACAAGGACTCAATTTCAATGGCCCGGGGGGTAACCTCAAATATGCTAATTAATAAGTGCACACAATATTTTAAGTTACAAATCAGACACAGTAAAGTATGCTTTCCCTAAATAAACATTCATTTTTTTTCCATGCATTCGGATTTCAGACCCCAAAAATATAGGGAGATCGCTATCTGGGAAATATTGCCCCAATGGTTCAGTCAGAAGAACATTCCAAAGTTTGTACCCCTTAATGTCAATTTTACTGTTTGCATATTTCCCACGTCTCAAGAACTGTTTAAGCAAATTGGAAAATTCTGTACACAATTATAAAATTTGTTTATCGAAAGATAATTCTACGTAAGAAACAACTTTTAGTAAATATTTATTATTTAGTACTAGACTAAAATAGTTTGAATTGTAAGATATACAAATGAGCAAAATCAGTCGCATAATGCCCCAGAAATCAAATTTAAAAGAAGTCTTGTTTTAAAAATTTGATTTCTCAAGTACTATTCAACCGATTTTACTCAGATTGCAAAAAATTTCCAATTCGCTTAAAAATTTCTCGAGATATGGGGAAATCCACAAAAATGAACATTAAGGGGTCTAACATTTGGACTGCTCTCATTACCAAACTATTTGAACCATATCTTTCAGATTGCAGCTAAAATCTAAGTTTGCTGTACTACGACGTATGCTTATTTTATGTGTAGGTTAAACAACACCATATAATGTTTGTTTGTGCTATTCATGAAAATGCGAATTTACCATTAAAATCACAGTTGATTGCCTAATAATTACATAGAATTACTAAATCTATCGACTTGCAACAATAGCTGAATCCAAGTTTAACTTAATAACCAATGTTCAACAGCCGACCCAAATTCGAGTTTACGGCTATCGATGCTCTACTTCGTAGCCTTGTAATTATGAACCCAACCCAAAAGACATTCAGGATGAGTACGCATAGAGGCAATGATTTAAGATAGGAACTTGGAGGACTTTTGTGACCTGACAGATTTAACACGCACCAGTAATCATGTAAAATGCGGGGATTCTTTTGATGTTGTAATATATAGTTTTACAAGTGTAAAAAGTTCAAGGGAAAAAATAGGGTAGTTTTGTTGCCTGAACAACTGAAACTAAAAAAGAAACAATGTGCTTGCTTTTTTTCTTATTTTTTTACACGGTAAAATAAAAATTTTCAAATAAAACTACAAGGATGTAGCATGGGTTCACTTGTCAGTTATTATAGCAGTGCTGCCAACATCATCTTCAAATAACAGAAGAGTCACTTATGAAAGCGATATTTCACTTTAACTATTTATTAAATTTGTAAGACGGCTGTTACATTTTATGTCCTCTCTGTCATGACGTATTATTTCAACTTATTATGAGACTTTTATTATTTTATGCCAATTAATTAAACATTGCACCTTAGAGTAGCATAATCTTGTAGAATTTTTGTTTCCAGAATTATTTAATATATTTTATAGTATAAAATACTTGTGCGATTTCCCCTCTGTCACACTTGGAATTCAACTAATGGCAAAAAAAATTTTCAATCAACTTTTTTTTTTTATGCAAACATAAAATAAGTTTAGAAAGACGAGTCTCACAAATATTATACAAGACAAGCCTAAGTGGAAACCTCATCAACTGCATTCATTTAATAAACTAAAATTCATCAACTTTTGATTTGCTATAACAGGATGTGAAAATGACCTAAAATTTAAATTTTACTAAAGACAGAGTATCTGACATTATAGAATGAATTATAAAATTATAATAATTTTTTATTTTTTTTTACTTGCCATGTTTCATCATGTTCAAGTAGTTAGCGAGTATTGTGGCTGTTTTACTTGCATAAAAATAAGGTGACTTTATAAAATTAACATCAATTTGCTGTTTCACTAGGCTATTCTAAGCTTAAGAAGCACTTAAGCAGTTAAAAATTAATAACACAATTTAAATTCAATTGCCAAATATATAATTTTAGGTATTTCTGTACAGCCCCCACGGCAGAAAAGCAGCAACAAGACTTCATTGTCTCAGAACGTTACAGAGTTCTTGCAGAAGGATTTTTCTTTTGAAAAGTAAATACTTTTAAACTCTCTTTTCTATAGAAATTTACACGTAGTATATGAATCGTGCACTTAGATATTCACTTTTCAACGCGCTCAATTTACGTCAATAGTAAAGTAAATCGATGCAATGCTTCGATTGAATTTTTGGCAGTTACTGATATTGATTTTCACTTAGTTTTTAAATATTACAATATATTTCAAACACTATGGAAAATTCGAAGTGAGCATTTGAGTATTTAATTTTTAAGGCAATGATTCTATCGAATTTCTTATTATTTATTACAACAACCTTATCTCAAAACAAAGCACGTATTCGAGCAACCCCTTTTTCGAGGAGTCCGATTCATGTGATTCCATTGTCAATCTTTTTTTGCAACGGATTTCACGATTTTTTATCGTGATGATTATTTACAAAATGCGAGAGTCCCCATCATATTATAAAAAAGCCATTTCCATCACATTATAAAAAAGCTATGACTTGTTCAATTAAAAATATTAGAAGTTTTTTTCGTTGTAAACACAGTGCTTTTGTTATCTTAAATTAGTAACATATATGACTTACTATTAAAAGTATCACTCAGAAAGATATCGGCAGATAGCTAAACAAAAGAAATTCTGCCAAAGGGCCGTACAGAAGTGAAAAGGTAGGAGCACATCATAACGATTGATTGCTCGGAAACCTGTGGCTCTCCTCTGCTACTATGAGCGCTCTTGACTTGTACTATTCTTTCATTAAACTTTCTAATAATGGGTGTCAAAAATTTCATTAAAATAGGCTCGGATAAAAATGCTTACTTGGGTTCTTTAGCTTTCTTCTCAGTTTCTGTTATGTACGACCAATGTTGGGATGAAGATTTTTTCAAAAATACTACAACCATGTCAGTTTTAACCTATGTATCAGATACAGAAATAGAAAAGAACAATTGTAAAATCAAATAATATATATTAAAATTAAGCTAGTCAAAATCCTTTTTTCAATATTTTCCACAATGTTCATTTTTATTTATCATTCTCGATAGATATCTCTAAACCAGAAAGCATAGCTGCACACCTCATGCAATCTCAGCAAGGTTTTTTTCTCTACAATATTTTTATTTTAATAGCAAGCATACAATAATTTTAGCATTAAAAGGCGGTTAAAAAGGGGTTAATGAAACACATAACATATTTTAAATGCAAGTTTAGTGTGTGTGGAAGTGACATATAATAAAAATTAATAAATTTTGATTCAAAAGGGATATTTTTTGCATGTACAGATATTTACAAAATTTTTCAGCATGAAACTATCCACAATTTATAATAAATCAGTACATAAGTCTTCAATATCTTCAGTTTCACTTAAGGTGGCCAGTAAATAATACTTTATCCGAACAGTGCTCTTTATAAAATTCATTTATCATATTTTCTTTAAACCAACATCCAAAATTAAATGTTGGAATAACATTGTTTGTTTTGAATTGGCATTATTATTTTAAAAGATATTCAGCATTCGATAACGAGTGACCGCAAATGCAAAATTTTTTGTTGCATATTTCTTCAGAAAAAAATTAGATAAAATTCTTTAAATTTTATTCTTTTTTTTTCTTATTTGTAATTAAAATATTTAAAAAATTCTAATCTAACCACACGGTTGCTTCATTTATATTAGTTAATTTTTTGTTTTTTACAACAAGGCAATTCCATGGTGCTGGACGTAAAAAATGAACTTAAAATTTCCTTGAAAAAATCTCTCATAAAACCTAAGTTAAGTTTAAAATCATAAAATCTTTATATCAAATATTTAGCACATCATAACCTATAAAAAAAAATTGTTTATTAAAGTTCAAATTAAATGGATAAAATTGTTGGTGTTCGGGGTGCAAAAACAAACTATTACTTATTTACAAATTGCCTGTGAATTTATTTGCAATTTAGATGTAAACCTGACCAAATTTAGAAGCTGATAATTGAATAAAAGACTTCTATGCAGTTTTTAACCTGTAAAATATGATATACAACTAATTTGAAATTTTAGACTTCAGGGTCGAAAGTAAACTTTTCAAGTTGGATAAAAATTTAACTTAATCATAACCATTATAACGACTGTTTTAATTGCTTTAATTCTAATCTAAATATTACAGACAATATTTTTAAATTATATAGCTTCTTAAAATTTAAATTGTCCCCTATTTCCTGCTGGAATAGATGGATTCTATAGCATTTTCCATCTTGTATAAAAGTTAGTTGAAAAATCACTAATTTTAATTGTGCTATGTATATCAACAGCAATGTAAATAGAAATCATATTTAAGTAATATTGCCATAAATCAAATAATTTTAAATATCCTGGAATAAAAAAGTTGTTTAGTTGTCTATTAGTGAAATTGCTTTTTAAAATTCCTTACTCACAATAAAAAATTTCAAATGATATAGCCCATCATTTAACGGTCTTAAACGTATTGAAAATTGATATTTTATAAATAATTACTTCTAAATCTTCAGTTTTATCCTTGAAAATAATAGACTGTTTGCACAATAACACAAACCATTAAAATTGTAATAGTTCTCATGTTTTAAACATTGTGGTTTTTAATAAACTTAAGATAACTTTGAAAAGAAAATCAAATCAAAGCTGATCTTTTCAAGTGGTTGAGCATGTGATTCAATCTTCTTGGCTTTATTGAAAAAAATCTTGTTAATTTTTTCTTTTTTTACACCCTGCAAAGTATTGATAAAAGAAATTTCACTTTTTATCACTTTTAACTAAAAGATCAAAATTTCATATTTTCTCTGACATACCGGTCTTAGTTTAAAATAATATCCAGGCAATATCAAGTTTTAAAAAAAATGAAACTATAATATGTTTTTACTTACTTTAAAATAACTATCAGCAGGAACAATTTCATGAAGTAAATTTTTAATGGATAACACATTGTTAGTTTTCTTTTCAGGAATAAGTATTTGCAGTTCAAATGATCTAAAAAAAAGAGAAATAATTTTTAGATTCTAAGTAACACTATATCAATGATATTAATAAACATACCCTATTTAAAACAAGCTTGTTATTAAAGTTAAAGCAAAAACAGGGCATCTGCTACATTTTAGATTTTCAAAGTCATGACCAATTCCATGACTTAACGAAGTTACTATTTTCTCCCAACAAAAACAGAACAATAAATTAAAAAAGCATTATAATAACATTAATTGAAGTAATAGGTATAACCAAAATTGTTATCACATTTATAGATTTTAAAAAGAAAGAGTTGAAGCAATAAAATAAGTGAAAAAAATACAGAAGCAAATAATTTTTTCTTTTTTGCAGAATTATATTCTAAAGATACTTTTCTTATTCATGGGAAAGAAAAGAAATAATCATGAGATTTCAGTTCTCATTTTGGAATAAAAAAGAATTGCCAATGACTGGCTTGCTTCAGCTAGAATTTTAAATTGATAAAATAAAAATAATAAAAATTATGAAATCAGAGAAGTTTAAAAGATAATTCGCTCTAGAAATGATGTTTTTACTTCCATTTTTTGAAAGAACACCATCATTTTTAATGTACATGATAAAAATATTTTATATTTTAATATAATATGAGTGTGAGTGGGGATTTTGTTACAAATTCAGATACTCAGAACACCATGAAATCTGGAGTGTGATTCCATTTTAAAAATTAGCTTTTTCTGCAACCTAAATCCATGACTTTACAGGTGTGCAGATACCATATAATAAACATACTCTATTTAAAACATGTTTGTTGTTAAAGTTTAAGCAAAAATGAAAAACAATTAAATTTTTTTAAAAAATTTCCTTGCTTTACAATACTTTCCCACTGAGTAATTCAAAGACAATTGTAAAAGAATTTCTCTCATTAATATAATGTTTTACAGTTGTACAAAAGCATTACAGGAGTCCTTGCAGCTGCACATTTAAAAATATCAGTTGGAAAAAAAGTCTGATATGTATAGACAATTATTATCAAAAAATCCAGTCAGTAAAATGTTACTAATGAACATATTTCAAACACATCTGTATCATGCACAGCTTAACATTTTTTACATTCCCCGCTATCAATATTTTCATTTAAGATAAATAAATAATATATATATATTTAAAATATCATTTTGTTCTATCTTGCTGATTCACATTTCTTTAAAAATTTGACATTCAAAAAATAGCAGGAGCATAATTATCATGAATAAGTCTTATAAACAATAGTTAGCATGGGAAGTAAATAATGAACAGTTCAAGAATTTTAAATCTAACAATTCAAAAATTTACAAATTAGTACTTTTTAATCAGTAATATATGCACACACTTAAAATCGAAACATGTTAACCACAATATAAAGAATACATATAGTTGTAAATGTACTTTTGCCCCGAAAAAAAAATTAACTAAAGGCTATAGAGAAAAATAGATAATGCAGACATGTGCAGACAAAAAAAAAAAATTATCTAAATAGTTTTATGGTTGTTACATAGTATGGCTTTCTAATGGAAATTTTTTTCTTTAAAACAATTTTATTATTCGTTTTAAAAACAATTTACTTAATAGAATAGTGAAAAATTAAATAAAAAAATATATATAATTAAAGTTTTGTGTGTTATATATACTAACGTAAAAAACGTAGGTATTCTGAAAGAAAGTGTGTAAATTCTTAGGGGGAAAAAATTCAGTTTATACAGATTGTCCTTCTATGGAACCAACATAATAAAAAGCCATTATTCAAATGCATAATTTTAAATGACCTCTTAGAAATTAAAATGTTTTTAAAAATCTTTCAGCAGCACCTGAAGAAGAACCCTGGAAGGTCTGAGCAATAAGGAAAAACAGTGAAGTAAATACTTGAGTTTAATTCAGATTTCTTCTGCACTGTAAATATTTTTATACTTATTGTAAGTTAATCCTTTTTTCACATCCTTTAGCAACTCTAACAAAGACTACTTTTGTATTAAGTCTAATAAAAATTTAAACTAAAAAAAGAATTCACTATTTTAAGATGTGAACAAATATTTTATCTACAACACACATGCATATAAACTAAACACATTATTATTCTTACTTGGTGTCAAAATCACAGGTAACATTTTCAGCTGGATAATTATGTACACCACTAATAGAAACATAGATCTTCAGAAATTTATCAGATTGATCCCAACCTGAAACAAGGAGTAAAATAAAATATTTTGAATATTTAAAATTTCTTAACACATTTAAATACATAAAACACATCAAAATTTATTTTTCTTCCAAAAAATATTCTTATTTTTTGCTTTAAAAAACTACTTTTCGATTAAAATGTAACATAAATTTCTGAGTAACAACAGTCAGTTAATTTATATATTCAGGGCCTGCACTAAGGACTTCAAAACTTTTAGCTAAAGGCAATTTTAACAATTTCTCACGATTTTTTTATCATACAGGGTTCATGCAGAGATCAGAAGAAGAAAGCCAAGGAGTCCAAAATTTTAAGGACTTATCAAAAATTAAAAAACTTTGTGTAAAAGATAACTAGACAGTTTTTTTAAAAAAAAATTAAAAAGCAGTTATTATAAGAAACTTGCAAAAATGCATATTTTTTTCTAGTCCTTTTGAAATAAATTTTGACTTTGTCAAACTTCATCAAGAAAAATAAATAAAGTTATCACTTTTACACATAAATACATTTTCCAGTTTCAAACATTTTAATAAATCTTGTTAAAGTACAGATGTTAAAGATTAACATAAAAACCTACCAATCTTATATTTTTAAATTTAAATACATAGAATCTAAGGCATTTTATACAAGAAAAAAAAAATCACAGTAAAATATTAATTTAGTTTGCTTGTAACATGTAAAATTAAAATTATTCGGCTGTTATTTTTTTCTTCTAACTCTTGCAATTCAATTTTTTTTTCTTTCAAAATTTTTCTTAAACCATCAGATTTTGACAGCTAAGTCATCACTTAGTTTCTCTACTTGGACAGCAATTTATCAGCAAACTTAGTAAGTTCATCCATGCAATGCAATCAATAATCTAAGGAGCACCCTGACTATGAATTGAATAATTTTATGTGGGGATAGTAGTTATCGGCAATGTCAACCTTCATCTATGAAAAGGTACACCACCATAGAATCGAGTTAACATGTCTCATAAACTAGGGAATTGTATTTTTGTAGTGGTAGATACACTACAAATCACATTTCACTTTATGGTTGGGGATGAGTAAAGGAACAGAGAAAGGACGTGGATGTTTTATAGACTTTGAGGGAAAAAAATGGGAAAATGTTGGAATTAATTTTTATTAATTCCTTAGACTAGAACACCAATATAAAAATAAAACTTAGGCAATATTATGTTATTGTCACAAGAAAGCTTTTTTTCTGTAAAATTATTTGGATGATAATATGCTATCACATAATCTCTGTTGGTACTTACATTATCTGGACCCATTGCTGGGGGAATTGTGGGCCCGCCCAACTCAAAAATCCTGAAAATTTCTTGAGTAAAATCATTCAAAAAATTAATATCTTTATAAATTTGAATCATTGAAATTTTCAAAACATGATATTCTAAATGAATTATATGCAGCATGACTTAAATGAATAATTATGTGAAAGTTTACTTTTATCTCTAATGTGATTGATGATTTCTTGAAACTTCTGGACTTTGGATTTCCAGAAACTTTCGGATCACGGTTAGCGAAAAATCCAGAATTTTTTCGGAGCACAATCACTCCTGTTATTGTAATTTTAAATGGTTATGTGATGTATCTAATGGATATTACCTTAATTCAATGAAAAAAATACAGGATTTATTTAGAAAAATTCCATTTGACCTTTTTTTTCAGGATGTGAAGGGGTATATATATATTTCCTTTCTTTTTTTTTGGTAGAAAAAAAGTCATTCACCAATACTTATGCCAAAACACAATTTGTTTTACTGAATACACAAATTTATAGCATTTGGTGACGTGGCAAATGCTTAGCACAGCCTGTATATCATATTTTATATATTATCATTTATAAATGTTACTTTACAGAGGATTTGAATATCAACCCATCTATTATATCAATTTGAAAGATAAATTTTCTTAAATTGATTATTCACACTGCGTGCACTTACTTCATTTTAAAATTTTAGAAACATCTCTAGCAAAATGTTCCTAGCATAGTTACTAGTTTTAAAATCACAAAATGTAACTTCAGAGAATTAATAATTAAAAAAAAACAATGATTTCAATATTTATTTATGTGTTCAATGAAAAAAAATTTTTTTTCTTAGTGAACAGCAACTTAATTTTCAATACTAGCAAATCTTATATCCTTACATAAAATTAAGTAAATAAAATTTAAAGACAACTACAATTTACTCTCGATATCTCAAAGTTATTAAACTTTGAGTGATAGGTAAATATATAAAGTAAAAAATAATAATTTTTCTTTTGACGAAACAAAGTTATTAAGATATCGAGAGTATACTGTATTAAATTTTAAATCAAATTCATAAATACAAATTCTGGATTACCAATGTTTGAACAATAGTAACAAAAGCATTTACAATAATTTAGAGGAACATTTTGCAGAGCATTTTGTTAAACTTTGAAATAATTCATAAGGAGAATAAAACTTAATTTATTAAAAAAACTTTTTTTCAACACATTTATTTAATAATATAAAACCTTAACACCAGAAACACATTTAACCGCAACTGATAACAGATATATGAAATGAAAAATCATAGTAAAGTAAACCAGGGTTTATTATATCAAATAAAAATAAAGTAGTTGATAACATGTTCCTATTATATCCATTAATTATATTAAAAGTAAACAAAAAGTAATTTAAAGGTTATTTTGCAGTATTTTATCTAGATGTAAAAAAAACTGGCATATGTTCAATGCAGCTATAGATCAAGGTGTCATAAACTAAGGATGTTCTCTTAAAAGAGGAAGAAAAAAATATTTTATTCATTAAAAACGATCGTCATTAAATCTGAATATTTTTCATTCATTTCTTTTAAAAGTACAAACTATTTTCGTTTTTATATTATATGATTCACCTCAAATGTCCAAAATATTATTTTTATGAAATATATCTAAATTTTTGTGGAGCATACGAAGCATTCAGCAGCTCAAAATTCTGGTGGAAGAGTTGCCATTCCTGAGTATTTCAAGAACTTTGAAAATGTATGCAGGTAAAAACACTGGTTGTTTATCTTAAAAACACTGGTTGCATCTATAATAAAAGTTTTGATAGTATTGCAATACTAAAGCTTAAAACAACTCTGTACATTTTTCATTTAACTGGCTAATTTACCTTTTCTTACAAAAGGGGACAAAAATATCTGGCAGAAAAACGCTAAAAAATTTACATATACAGTAGGGAACCGATTATCCAGAACGATCGGGACCATCGCAACAAAAAACCGTTTTTTTTTTATTGTCAAACTCAACTAAAAAAATAAAAAATATTTGGAAATAATCTTAAATAGAAGAAAAAACAATGAAGTAATACACTAATGATTATTTCCAAAATGATGGTAAGGTAAACATCTTTCAAAAAAGAAAGAAAAATCCTGAAATCTTATGAGGAAAATTTTATTTATTTATTTTTTTTTTTTAAAATGGCGGGGAAAATTTATCGAATTTCATTCCGGTTTTCTGGTTTTCTGATTTCCAGATAACGGGTTCTGTACTGTACAATAAATGATACTAGGATAGGAAGAGCAACCAACAAGTTGGTCTCCCTTATTGCACATTGTTCTGCATTATTACAAATGAATTTTACAATTTTAAAAAATATTTCTTTTTAAACAAAGGCCTAAAAATAGAGAACGAATAGGACTAAAAATAATTTGAACATTTACCATAATTCTGAATTTTAGCTGAATAGACATCACTACGAACAGCTTTACGGGTTATCTTTTGAGCCGAACTCTTTGCTTCGTTTAAAGCAACTTGTTTCAATTTTTCGGCCTCAGTTGTAAGGATTCTCTTCACGTTAGGACTTTCGGTAAGTTCGGCAAGTCTAACGAGCTCTTCAGCATCTTTAATTAACTGAAATTATAAAAAAATTTCTCCAATAAGTAAACTCAAGAAACAAACAGTTTTATAAATACAAACTTTCAAAAGACACAGTTAACATTTTTACAAAGAAAACAATATTCTCGAACACAATAAAACCTGTCGAGCTCACCACACATGTAAGTTGACCTCTATTATAAAAACCAATTTTATGCAAAATATTGAAGAAGAAAAAAAATCCTAGTAACCTGGTGATTTGCCTATCTTCTATGTTGACTACTTTAATTTTAAGTCAAATTTGTCAAGGGGTGTTATCAGGGTTTATTGAGACAAAAAGAAAGGCTTTTATTTAAAAAAGACTGTCTTCATAAGCTTTTTTATATTTAATTTTTCAAAATAACATGCATGGATCTGATTTATTTTATTTATGACCACTCAGTAAAATATGTTATATTGTGCTATGTATTGGATTGCACTAATATAGCAACAAAATTGAATATTTTATTTACAAGATGAATAACTTAACTCCTTTTTTCCCCATCCAATTTAGAACTATGGCATACATTACTCTTAACTTTAAAGCATACACATGCTATAAATTGCATAAGCGTAAAAAATAAGAAAAAAGGAGCAATGACTAAAAGATATAAATAGTTGGTACACTTTTTTCGATGCTCCGTCTACTCGCCTTAATAGATCTTTTATTCAAAAAAACATGGAATAAAACAAACGTAAATGAAAAATCCCACTTAAAAAAACATTCAGAATTTTGATAAAATAGACTCACTCAAACTTCAACAAAGAACTAAAACATCAAAAAACCAAAACATTTTTTAACCTCAATTGTTGGTCTGAGAGATTGTTGAGTATTATTTTATGGTGATTCAAGTCAAACTTTTAATGAATATGAAGTATTAAGATTGTTGCCTAAAATAAGTATGGTGTTGTGAGCAACATCAACAATTATTCGAGAAATAACAAACAAAAAAAGAAGAAAATCCTCACAGCTTTCCTATAATAGGACCAATTGAAGAAAGTTTAATAATAGGTAATTATTGCATAGTTCATTTGACATTCTACCTTAGACCATAGAATATGTTCAAATGCAACAACCAGGATATCTGCAACATTTTAGATTTTCAAATCCATGACTCTTCATGATTAATTCCAAGAATTTTTCGTGGCTTACCGAAGTTACTATTTTCTCCACAAAAACACAGCAATAAATTTAAAAAAGCATTATAATAACATTCATTAAAGTGATAGGTATAACCAAATGTGTTATACTATGCTATACTACATCTTCATATTTATTTACTTAAAATTTAAAAAAACAGAGTAAAGAAAGAATTGAAGCAATAAAATAAGGGAAAAAAATACTAAAGCAAAAAAAATTTCTTTTTTCTGCAGAATTATATTCTAAAGATACTTTTCTTGATCATCAGAAAGGAAAGAAATACCCATGATTTTTCTGTTCACATTTCGAAATTAAAAGAAATTCACCAATGACTGGNACTAAAGAAAAAATTTTTTCTTTTTTCTGCAGAATTATATTTTAAAGATACTTTTCTTGATCATCAGAAAGGAAAGAAATACCCATGATTTTTCTGTTCACATTTCGAAATTAAAAGAAATTCACCAATGACTGGCTTCCATCTTAAAAATTATATTTTTTGGCAACCTAAATTCATGACTTTACATGGATTTTTTTTAAAATTAGTTAAAATCATGACAAATTTAGTTTAATACCGAAGTACATAACTTTCCAGGTGTGCAGATATACTGAATATAACTCTTCAGGATGTCAACAATAAGTTATGTATATGTACCACATAACATTGTCTTCTGTGGAAAGTAAACATAGAGAAAAATTATATCATTAGTTGATCAAAAACATCATAGTAACATTAAATGCAATATTTTGGAAGAAAATGTGCATAAGGCATTACAGAACAAAGTTCTAAGAGGCAAGTCTAACAGAACAAAGTTATATTTTGACAACAACTTCAATTTTTACAATTCTGAAAACTTTATGGACATGCATTAAAGCAAGAGATATGGTATTTTCCAGAAACTTTTTAATGAATTTTCTAAACCATTAAATTAATTAGGTATGGTATAATTAAAACCACATTCATTAAAGACTACAAGCAAATAAAACTTCTATCAAAAATAGGTAACTAACAAGTAAACTAAATTATTAACTGTGATGTCTTTTTATAATTTTCCTTTCTAATAAAAAAAAAGTATATTAACAATGCATAGTGCTGTAATAGAGTTTAATATATTTTTCATCATGTTTCCGCAAAGACCACTGAATCAAATTTTCATAACTTACTTTAAATTATAATATTGTACACTTAAAAATTATACAAATACTTTTATTTTCAAAAAAAAAGAAAAATTTACTGATTTTGAAATCTAGTGATTCTTGCACGTTTACAACATTCATCTTACTCGAGTATTCGATTTTAAATGGCGATAATTCTAAAAAATACTTTAGAGAACAGTAAGCACAATATAAAAGAAATATAACACAGAAAACAATACATTAAAATTATTCAAAGGCTGAAGAAAATTACACAGAATAAACATAGATAAATAATACAGAAACGGAATCAAACATACTGTTTCTGCTGATGACATTTTTCACTTAAATGTATTTGTTGCACCAATAATTGAAACTGAAGATTTCGTACTTCAATGTTACTGTTGAAAAACAACCAACAGTACGAACAAGTAATACCAAACAACAGAAAAAAGCGAAAATCCAGAAAATTCTGGTGGTCGTAATTATTCAAGGGGGAGGGGGAAACAAGTGAAGCATTAACGCGCTTGTAACCTCTTATTAGGACATAAAGCAACTGTTGCAAACTATGATAGGCTTTTAGCTTGGATGGCTCAGTTTTATTAAAATTACTTCAAGAGTGCGCAGGTACTAATGCACTACACGGTGCTCTGGTATTTTCTAGCATCGTGATCTCGTCAAAAACGAATTCGCAAAATGACCCAGTATGTTCTTCCATCATCATTGGAAAATTCTCACTAAACCTGAATGACGATTGCATCTTCGGTTAACCTGTGGGGCTGGTCGTTACCGACTATGTCAACCGTCATCTATGAAAAGGTACCCCATCATAGAATCGAGTTAACACGTCTTATATACTAGTGAATTGTAATTGTAATTTTTGTAGTGGTAGATACCCTACTGTACTCCCTCACCAGGATTATATCTGTGATAGAATTCGACGAACGGATACCACTAGTTGATTCACTGCTGTTTAGTGAAAAGCCGGGAGAGTTGTTTTAAGATCACCGTACTTATTGAGTGCTGAATGTGAGAGGTGTATTAACTTCACGGTCGTAATCGCTTCTGTGTTGCCGTTAGCCGTCGANCGGATACCACTACTTGATTCACTGCTGTTTTGTGAAAAGCCGGGAGAGCTGTTTTAAGATCACCGTACTTATTGAGTGCTGAATGTGAGAGGTGTATTAACTTCACGGTCGTAATCGCTTCTGTGTTGCCGTTAGCCGTCGAGTGTATGCAAGTTGACGTTGTGTGTGAACGAGATTGAGTAGCAACAGTGCGAGGAGGTGGATAATGTCGCAGTCACACGTAGCAAGTCAACCGTTCAATGTGGACCATCCATTGAAGTGGGCGTTACTGTCAAGATAGACGTGTTCACATCAAAGTGGACGTTACTGCCAAGGTAGGCGTGTTCACATCACGTTCAAAAGTCACCAATGTGGGGCTGGTCGTCATCGAAAATGTCAACCGTCATCTATGAAAAGGTACCCCATCATAGAATCGAGTTAACACGTCTTATATACTAGTGAATTGTAATTGTAATTTTTGTAGTGGTAGATTCCCTACAACTCATTGTATCTGCGGGAGTGCCCAAGTAATTTATTTTTTGAGTCCTGTGTCCTAACTTGAAAATTGAAAAGCATTTTTCCATGAGGGTCCAGTGAATTTAAATGTTTGTTCACCAGTGATCCATAATCGAAAAACAAACCCAACTAATAAATTGTAATTCACGCTATCAACACGTAGCTTGAAAATTTTCAACTGTGATTTGGCAAAAGATTTCGTTTTTTTTCTTCTAATTTTTCCCCATTATTGAAAAATTAATTAAACTGAAAACTCCACACTGTAAATATTGTCAGTTTTAACGTGATTAGTAATCTTTCTATCGAAAGACATGTTTTTGTCTATTTTCTAACATGGATACGAAAAAAAACAGAATGTTCCCCAAGCAACCAGCGTATGACGTAACATTTTGGCCAAGCAGTACATAAAGAGTTGCGATTCAGAGCTAGAGAATAAAGTCTTTAGAGAATCACGTCTGAATTATTGGATTTTGAAACATCTTCCTCCTCTAATGAAATAGGGAAATTGATTGACGTGGACATTGTGACAGCTCCGTCGTATCCATCGCCTCCAACTCCTTTTCCAAACATCATGCTTGAACCTCAGCCGTATCCAATTGTCTCCACTGCCACCAAAACATTGTCATAAATACTCGGAGTATCACAAACCCCATGGATCACAGAGAATCACAATACCACATGGGTTTCGGAGCAGCCCAATCAATGCTATCCCAACGGGTTTCAGAGCATCCCTATGGATTCCAAAGCATCCTAAATCCCAAGGAGCATCCCAATTAATTTCAGAGAATCCGAATAGCTTTCAGAGCCCTCGTATGGAGCTTCCCGTAAATTCTGGAGCAGTGCAAAGATACATAGTAATCCAAGATAGCAAAATAAGGTTTATTTTCACTCAGCAAAAACCTTTTGATGTAAAAACCTAAAAAGATTTTATATGCGGTTTACGTGTAAACCTTAAAACGAGATCTGTGACCATCTGCTCTATTCTACGCACAATACCCTCATCCAAAACCTTGGAAACAAAAGGCTTTAAAAAATAATTTTCAACCCTTTTAGGTTGAAAGGTTTGAAACTGCAATATTTTTGCTTTATTTGAGAAAAAGGTTTTTAGTACAAACATTTTCGTGACAATGAAATGAAAATTTGGAAACTAGGTTGCCGTAAGGCTACATGCTTTCTGGGAATATGAATGTTGTTCAGAGCAACCTAGTGACATCAGGGCCGTCCTATCCATTAGGCACTGTAGGCAACTGCCTAGGGGCCCCGCCATGTTCAGGGACCCTGTGCTACAGAGAAAAAAATTGACAATGTTTCTTAAACAGTAAAAATTTAATTCGAAATTTCAATGACGATTGTCTTGCTCTGTACATTACATCGACGCTATTTTAGTACATTTCTGAACGCATTCCAAATTAGATATTAATATTATGGTAGTTAGTTCATATATAACGCAGTAATATAATCGCAAGCAATTTTATCGNCAAACCCCATGGATCACAGAGAATCACAATACCACATGGGTTTCGGAGCAGCCCAATCAATACTATCCCAACGGGTTTCAAAGCATCCCTATGGATTCCAAAGCATCCTAAATCCCAAGGAGCATCCCAATAAGTTTCAGAGAATCCGAATAGCATGGAGCATCCGAATAGCTTTCAGAGCCCTCGTATGGAGCTTCCCGTAAATTCTGGAGCAGTGCAAAGATACATAGTTATCCAAGATCGCAAAATAAGGTTTATTTTCATTCAGCAAAAACCTTTTAATGTAAACCTAAAAAGATTTCAGATGCGGTTTACGTGTAAACATTAAAACGAGATCTGTGACCATCTGCTCTATTCTACGCACAATACCCTCATCCAAAACCTTGGAAACAAAAGGCTTTAGAAAATAATTTTCAACCCTTTTAGGTTGAAAAGTTTGAAACTGCAATATTTTTGCTTTATTTGAAAAAAGGTTTTTAGTACAAACATTTTCGTGACAATGAAATGAAAATTTTGACACTAGGTTGCTGTAAAGGTTGCATGCTTTCTGGGAATATGAATGTTGTTCAGAGCAACCTAGTGACATGACCGTGTAACGTGCTCAGCTGAAACTCGACCACAATCAAATGTCGTCACACATGTGTAGAATTTGCTGTTATCATGAATCGGGTTGGAGAAAATATTCTGAAACCTGATCTTCATTAAAAAAATTTTTTGAATGTTTATAAGCATTGATTGGAAGCTCACAAACTTATTATTGGTTGAATTCAAGCAATTCTCTTTAACCTTTGGGACATTGAAAATATTGATCAGTGACACATTATCAATTGACAAAATTGAAGCAAAGATTCACAAATGAAATGAAGAAACGAGTGTTGCGCTCTTGCAACAAACTTAGAAAATTTATTTTCATTATTCATTAATTTATTTATTTAGTAAATAATCTGAGAAAACTGAATCGAAAAGATATTATTTGATTAAAAACAACATAGGCAGCAAAAAATTACAAATTGGAAATAAAAATCGACATGTTTTAAACGCTCAACCATAGGCGCCCAGTGGTCACCCATTTTAATCAGTGAGCAGGTTTTAATTATTAATTATCCACGTCATCAGAAACATTTTGTCATCACGTTTAAATACCGGATTCATAAAAATGAATCGTATTGTGAACAAAACGACTAAGAAAGAAGGCATTTTTAATATCAACCCCATTTTACAATTTTTTGTCACACCAAAAATTTAGTGGTCAGAATATATAGAAATCTAATGGTGCAATGGCGGGTAAATAGGGTGGGTGATTGGAGAACTCTCACCCCAATTCATAACTTTTTAAAAAACTTTTTAGAACTACATCGGATGTTTATCAAGTGATTTAACACTACATTGCCCAAGGAAGTCATTTTGACTGCTTTTAATCAATTATTAATCAATAATTTTGACTGCGTTTAATCAACAAATCCTTTCTGATAATAATTTCCGAGGGAGCTTAAACATTTCTTAATCATCTTTTGATTCTTCTCTGTTTTTTTCGAGCCGTCGAACAACTCTTGATATTTTTATTATCGTTTTCCTTAGTTGTGATTCGTTTGATTTTTACAACTTTATACCCTCCCCTCTAATAATTAATAATTTAAATATTATTTGTTGAGAATTATAGATTTTTTTTACTTCTATTTTTTACATGGATTCTAACTGAGGGTGGTCTATGTCAAACACTTTGTAAAACAAAAGAGTTTACCGATAGGGAACATGCATGGATATTTAAAGATATGCCATTTTCAAATTTTTTGTTCTTTGAAAAAAAAGAAAGCAAGAAAAGAGGAGAAAAATTGCCTGTAAATGTATTTTTTAATTTATGTAGCTCTGTTTATAAAAGAAAAGCGTATATTATGAATTTCACGTCAATACGAAGTCAGCCATAAAAATATTATTTCATACATTGTGTTTTGATAATTTAGCTTTGAGTTTTCTGTCACTTCAATATGCATTCTATCTATCCTTATTTTTACTGCAACTTCAAATCTATTTGTATCGAAAACAATTCCGATGAATGAGGCTTATCTTATGATGAGCCGGATGTTATTTTTAACGGCGTTCGGTGATTTTTATTTTTATTTTCACTAGTCCGAATTCTATTTTGAAGTAAATTTCTAAATTTAGTAATCTTTTAAAGAATAAAAGAATTTTGCTTTCATTTCTTTGCTTACAAAAATATAATAAAAATGAGTTTTTTTTTCTTCTTACAACTTGACGATTACGGTGCTAAAAGCTGCATGCATGTATCTTATTTTATAAAACAATATAAATTTATATCAAAAAATATTAGAAATCGTTTTATGAAAAATGCGAATTTGAAAATATCGTTTGCTGAGTAATTTATTGAATGTAGATACCACAAAAGTACAATGGAAATACAGTGACATACTTAGGAAAACAAATGGTGAGGTACTTTTCCAGTCGGACAGTGTT